CTCGTAATTGGCGATATAATATCATGATAGTTCAGCTATTGGTGTCGGTGTTGAAAACTATCTAAGAGAAAACGCACTTTAATGTAGAATGCTGTATTAGTGTGTGTTTATATGCTTTTATATTGTAGTGATAAAGTTCAGCTAATTTCTGTTAGTGATTATTATATTTCTATTTCAAGAAAAAGTGTTAAGTTTATTATCTCACAGATGGCAGCACGCTAAGGTAATGGTACTGAAGCTATCGAGACAGCTGGTGGAGATTTCTCGAGTGGATCACCACGGTAACCACATGCGAGCTGGAGGCAGTCTATCCAAAGCTACTAGTATATGTGACGATGTGTAATTTTGAGATATGGAATATATGACAACATACACATATAGATTTGTGGGATGTTATTAAAGTATTGGGACGTTGAACAAAGTCATTCATCAATGTTGTATTACACAAATTAACCAACTATTCAGAGAACACAACTGTCAAGTAACATATAAATGTGAACAAAAGATTTGGTCTGAATGTTAATATTGAACACAATACTCCAAACGTGGCCTAACCAGTGACCTATAAAATGTAATTATAACCTCTTTAGAATTGTATTCAATATAGCACCCAAAATCCTATTTGTCTTACCACTAGCAAAAGTACACTGCTTGGATGGCTTAAGAAACTGTTCAACTATTACACCAAATCCATTTCTTTTATGACAATGTTAAGATTATTCTTATCCAAATTGTACTTATAATTCAAATTATGATAACCCACATGCATTATCTTGTATTTATAATAATTAAAACCTGTTTACCATTTATCTGCCCAACTCACTAAATGATCTAAGTTCTTTCGTAAATCAACAGATAGCAACACCCAAGACCTTAATGTTATATGCAAATTTAAGTAAAATATTGACCATTCCTTCATCAATGTCATTGATGTAAATCAAAAAGAGCAAAGGTGCTAAGACTGAGCCCTGAGGTACCACACTTGTAACATTAATCCAGTTTGATTGAACTCCATTTCTAACAACCCTCTGCTTTCTTCCATTCAGTCACTATTCTATCCAATTTGCTAACTTATCCCCCACACCTATTTATGTGGCACCTTGTCAAATGCTTTCTGAAAATACAGATACACCAAATCTACATCCTTACCGTCATCTACATAAGCAGGAACCTTTATAAAAAATCTCAAAAGATTTGTAATGCAAGATTTTCCCTTAGTGAAACCATGCTGACTATCCAATAATATTCTAAACTTTGTTAAATTGCTTTGCAAAGCATCTTTTATCAGGCCTTCCAAAACGTTTCCCACAAGTGACGTAAGACTAATGGGCCTATAATTACTGAGGCAATTTTTATCACCTCCCTTGAAATGAGAAGTGACATTAACTAACTTCCAGTCTTCTGGTTCCTGCCCACTATTCAAGGACTTACAAAAATTAGTAGTAAGTGGCTCACATATTCAATCCTTAACCTTTTTCAAAACCCTTGGCGAAATCTTGTCTGGCCTTATCCTTTTTTTAAACTTCCCAATCTTTTTCATAACAAGCTCAGAATTAATGCACTCATCTTGTTCCATCTTATTTTAGTCTATCAACTGTTCAAGATGTGGAATACTGCATAAAACTTCGTAAGTAAAAACTGAAGAAAAAACAAAATTTAATAACCCAGCCATCTGATAATCATTAGATATGAACTTTCCTTTATCATCCCTCAAGGGTCTACCCCAATCTTAACATTTTGTTTGCCCTTAAGGTATTTAAAGAAATCCTTACTCTTAATTTTTACATTTTCAGCCAACCTTTTCTTATACATCTTTTTTGATGTTCTGATTTTCTGTTTCACCAACTATCTTGATCTTTTGTAATCTTCTAAATCTCCCGTCATACCAATCAATTCAAATTTCTTAAATTTGTTATGTTTTTCTTTAATTTTATCTCTTATAGTTATTGAAGTTACCCTTTTCTTTCTATAAGGAATATGTTTACCTTGAATGTCTAAAAATTTATCTTTAAAAATTTTCCACAGTGTCTCCAAATAACTTAGTTGCCCAATTCGCAACAGATAATTCTTGTCGCATCCATTCAAAATTTGCTTTTTTCAAATTTGTAACCAAAATATCACTCTTACATATCTCCATATGCAGTAAAACATTGAACCCAATAGAGCAATGATCACTTGCATTCAAATGTTCACAATATTTTAAATTTATCTTTAACTTCAGATATAGAAATAATCGAGAAGTGGTTAGAATACCAAATTATGGATCAAAAATTCAATGATTTTAACCTCGTTACCACCGGAAAAAAGTCGCGCTCCGAACTTTTTGGAATGTGAATTGGTTATTGGATTAGAGCAGATCATGAATTGGCGATTGATAGTGTTGACTAGCTACCTTCCCTGTAATCTACCAGGTCACGACACATTGACCTGAAAAAAGCATCAGTGTAGTTATTGAAACGTTGTCTTATTTAAATTAAAATGCAGAGTCAAACCATTACAATTTTCAGCCATATAAAACACTCATATGTGTATCTATATAAATATAATAGCACTGCTGTATGTCCATGTAACTAATTCGCAGAGTGTAGATGGATCTTTACCAAAATTGGGATGGAGGTTCATCGTGTCCATGTTGGAGTGCATACAATTTTTCGATTTTGAATTTTACGTTTTGCGGTTTTTATGGGCT